GCATAGGTTTGTAGGGCTCCAGTTAATACTAGAGAGTGCCTCCAAAACTGGGCAGCTGGATTTGGGCTGCTGGAACGCGAGTCATTCATACAGCTTATTTGCACTGTCCTTTCTTCCAAACCCCTCCAAAACAGGCCAAGGATGGCCTGAAGAGCAGGTAGCTTGTCTTTGAGGATCAGGTGCAGCCTGCTGGCTTTCAGTTGTGTGCTTCCATGTCAGGATTATTCAAAACATGTTTTTGGAAGATGTATGAGAATCTGACTATATTGAATTTGAACAAAAGCTACAGGAGACTGGCAGCACTCTGGTGATTTGTTTGTATCCTCATTACAACTTTGGAGGCGTCCTGACAGAGTTACAGCAGAACCCACATTAGATTGACTCAATGACATAAACTCAATTGAGCTACTATCCGTTTCTTCCCCTATCACACTTCTGTCTTTGAACACAATTTCAGGGGGAAAAAAAAGTCAGATGCTGCAAAATAGACATGTATGCTATATTGGGCTCACTCATGTAATATATCTGTATCTGTTTCCAAAAATGTTGCAGTGCGATGTAAAAAATAAAAATTGTATTCTTGGCTTTTCCACTTACCAATTAATTTCTCTTCTTAAATAATCCTGGTAGTCTTGGTCTTCTCAAAACACAATACAATTTATTTTCTGTGAAGTCACTTTCATGGAAATTGTGAGATTCCATTTTTAAATTAAAAAGCAGGAGTTTGCCAGTATCTTGGTTGAGTGTTGTGGTTTAGCCCCAGCCAGCAGCTGAGCACCATGTGGCTGTTCACTCACCTCTCCCTCCCTCGTGGGATCGGGAGGAGAATTGGAAGAAAAAGGTAAAACTCCTGGGTTGGGATAAGGACAGTTTAACAGAACAGCAAAGGAAGAGGAAAATAACAACAGTATTCATAACAGAATATACAAAGCAGGTGGTACACAATGCAATTTGCATCCCCAAGCAGCAAGTCCTCCTCCCTGGCCAGCTCCCTCCCTTATATACTGAGCATGACATCATGGTGTTGAATATCCCTTTGCTAGTTTGGGTCAGCTGTCCTGGCAGTGTTCCCTCCCAGCTTCTTGTGAAAATTAACTGTAACCCAGCTGAAAACCAGAACATTATCCACCCCTTATTCTATATCATCTACGTCATGCCCAGATCCTACACTGTCCGATTACTCACCACCACTTTTCCTGTCTTTGAAATATATATATGTACACATACACAGATATGATTCCCTTAGTCTATGGCCCATCCCTCTAAAATGTCTGTTGAGTTCATTTAATCCATGACTTTGGGCTCCATCCGTCATAACAGTCTCAACAGGAGAGATGGTGCGTGCTGTGGGATTGTTGCATGCTGCATCCGGAGCTCGTGGCTGGTGTATCTGGCGCAGCCCATGCTCACAGTCTGCAAGTTGAAGATGTTGATTTTGAGGAGGTTGCTGGGTGCCAGTTGTGAAGCCAGTTCTGGTTTCATCATCGCTGCACTTTGCTCCGTTTCATCAAAGTTCATTATTCATTAATTTGGGTGATATTTACTGTAATACCGTTGGTATGGCGTATAGCAATTGTACTAGTGATGACGTACAATGGCAGCGTTATTTAGCAATTAACATCATACAATTTAATTTATTGGCTATTCTCACCCAAAATCAAATCCCCTTGAGGTACATATCAGACTTCACCATCCTTCTGCATCACCCACCAAGTGCACCCAGGACCTTGAGCAAAAGCAATCCCGCAGATGGGCTTGCCTTTGCCCGAGGCAGGGCTAACCCACACTGTCTTCCCCAACATATTCTTCATCTGTACTACAGGGACTTTGTACAGTACGTGGAAGTTTAGATTGGCTGCCCCCCTAGCATTAACTAACCAGGTGGCCTTTGCTAAATGTGTATCCAAATGTTTGAGGGTCCCACCACCCATTGCTCAGAAATTTCTTCTACTGTGTTGTCCCATTCAATGATGTCATTTATGTATTGCAAGTACTCCGGAGCTTCACCTTGTTCCAGTGCAGTCTGGAACAGCCCATGGCAAATGGTGGGGCTGTGTTTGCCCCCCCAGGGCAATTGGTTCCAGGTGCATTGAACATCCCTCCAAGGGAAAGCAAACTGACCTGCACTCTGCCGCCAAAGGGATCGACAAAAACGCATTCATGATATCAGTTGTGGCATACCACTTGGCTGCCTTTGTCCGCAATTTGTATTGACATTCTAGCATGTCTGGCACGGCAGCACTCAGCAGCGGCGTGACTTTATTCAGGCCACAATAGTCTACTGTCAGTCTCCACTCTCCATTAAACTTTCACACTGGCCATATGGGACTGTTAAAGGGTGAGCCACTCCTTGGCTCTCCAGTTGATGAATCAGCTTATGGATGAGAATCAGGGAGTCTTGGTGTGATATTGCCGCCAGTGCATTACAGTAGCGATTGGCACCTGTTGTTCTTCAACCCTCAGCAACCCCACAACAGAAGGCTCCTCTGAGAGACCTGGCAAGGTAGACAGCTTTTCAGTTTCCTCTGTGTCCAAGACAGCTATTCCAAAAGCCCACTGATACCCTTTTGGGTCCTTGAAATACCCTCTCCAGAGGTAGTCTATGCCAAGGATGCATGGAGACTCTAGGCCAGTCACAATGCTTCTGCCACTCGTTCCCAGTTAGACTCACTTTGGTCTCCAGTAGAATCAACTGTTGGGATCCCCCTGTCACTCCAGAAATACAGATGGGTTCTGCCCCTTCATGGCCTGATGTCATTAGGGTGCACTGGTGTCTACTAGAGCCTTATAGTCCTGTGGACGTGCCAGGCCATCCAATACACACAGTCCAATAAGCCCAGTTGTCCCTTTCCTCCACTTGGCTGGAGGCAGGGCCCCTCTAATCCTGGTCATCATATTCATTACTCATGTCTTGTAAAAATGACTTAGAAGTCCCTTCAAGGGGATCATAAGTACGATGAGGCCTTCCACCTGGTCTGGGGGAATGGCCGCTGGAAACTGGAGCGGCATTTTTCCTGGAAAAATCCCCTTTTGTGATTGTTTTGCCTTGCAGCCCACGTACTTGTGCCTCTAGGGTCAAGGTATTTTTTCCATCCCACTTCCTCATGTCATCTGAGTGGTCACACAGGTAAAACCACAGGGTGTGTCGTGGTGTGTACCCTCTATATCTTCTCTCTTGAGCAGAGAAACGCTTACTCCTAATAGCTGAGATAGTGGTCCGTACAGATGAGGAATAAGACATATTCTTTTCAGGTTGCTGGACCTTCCAGGACAGTTTCTGAGATGAGGGAGGAAGAGAGACTTTCTTCACATTGCCAGAGTTGGCCAGCCACTTCATCCACCATTGGTGCCTCTTTGCCTTTCCAGCCCATTACTGCCAATGAGTTGGTGTACAACAATGGTGCCCTCTGTACAAACTTCCCCCATACAGCCAGTATGGGTTTACATAGCACAGCCACGCAAGCAAACAAAACACCATTGTGACCAATGACTGCCTACCTAATATAATAAATGGGTACACTACACTGTTCAAAGCTGTACCTTCTCTTTAAAGGTTGTAGCTTTTCTTGCTCATTAACCAAGGTGAGTGTCATGGTTTAGCCCCAGCTGGCAGCTGAGCATCACGGGACCACACACTTCCCCACCACCAGCAGCGACTCCTCCTCCCCAGCCAGCTCCTCCCCTTCTATGCTGAGCATGATGTCATATGGTATGGAATCTCCTTTGGCTTTTGTCTAGTTTGGGTCAGCTCTCCTGGCTGTGTCCCCTCCCAGCTTCTTGTGAAAATTGACTCTATACAAGCCAAAAACCAGGACAGTGAGTTTCTGTAATTGAAATCTCTAAGAAAACATACAAGATACTGTAATTATTATCCTGACATTTTGTATAACGCAACAATGAAAACTCTTTAGTTGTCATTCAGCTATTCCGAAGATACAGAAAGGTGTGAAGTAACCCAAACAGCTGTAAAAGAAAACAAGGTCTTCAAGGTTATCAAAACTGAAATCCTTTTCTTTATTATTTTAAAACAGATTAATTTATCGTGAAATTTAAAAATTCTCTATTTTATTATCAGAAAAAAGGCACTGTTTAAATAATGTCAAGGTTGAGTGCCAAAACAATTGAAGCTAGCACATGTCAAATAAAGCCAACACTCTTTTACATGGAACAGGGAGAAGCAACAGTCAAAACATGGTAAACAAAGTGGAGTAATGTTCAGAAAAAAATAGAGCAATAAATAAACAATTGCAAAATCAATTTGATCTTTTTAAAAATGTGTTCACTGAGTTTCTTGGGGAAAAATTCAGAGAAGTTATAAGCTTTGGAGTAGTAGCTTTTAATGGGAAAGCTGATGATCCCATTAACTCTGGGTGCTCTAAGAAGAAGGAAGAAAAGCCTGTGCTGAACACTTAATTGTGCGTGGGATCATTAAAACGTAGAGATAAAAAGAAGAGTCAATGAAGGGGATAAGAAGCCATGGGAGATGAGGCTAATTCCAATTTTATATATTGAAGTACCTTTCACTAAAGGTAAAAAGGAAAGGCCTGATGCTGCCCTCTGGTATACAATACTCTCCAATATGCATTTTGTAAATGTAGGTACTTCACTGGAAATTTCCTTCCTGCACAATATGCGAAGATGTGCAATTATAGGAGATCGACTGTGAATATTCATCCTGGAGAAAAACCTTCTGAAATGCACGTGTATTCATCTATATCTGGTACAAGACGTCACATTCTGGATTTCATACCTGACTCCTCTTATGGGTAGAATATGACAAAATTAATCATTCAAATCTTCTAGTAGAGGCCTCAGTTTCTGACAGTGACTTCTCACTTGTGTGGTTGGTAGATGTCTATGTCCTCATCCAGTCCTGGACGATATGCTATCGTAAAGCCTTTGCAGAGGCCCAAATTAAATTTTCAGTCATGATTACTTAGTGTGATTATTCAGTCACTGGACAACGAATCCACGTTCCTTTCAAAGTACACATAGCTTATCTACAGCTCCACTTTCTGACACGGACAGGACTTGGTTGGATATGACAGGCTGCGGTCAACGGGTTTGATCATCATCCATGCAAACTTGCACACACGTTGCTTGTTGCAGTCCTTTTGCCAGTATATCACATTCCTACGGTTTAGATTTGCTCCAGCGCACGCGTCATACCACCAGCCTCCCCCGGGAACGCCATTGTGTTCCAATTTAGCACAATTCTGAAAGTAATTGTCATTGTCTCTGTCCTTGGTGGTGAACTTCTGGTTGTCGTGGAGATAAGCTTCTGTGTCCAGGGTCAGAGCATCAGTGGCGTTGCCTTTGTATAGACCCACCCTGATCCGGTACTGAGAATCTTCGTCTTCAATAAGGAATGGCTCGTACTGTCCCCATTTGATTTCAGCATTTAGGTTGACAAGTTTAACTCCAAGTATATATTGCACAGAGCTGCTAGTTAACTGATGCATATATTCATTTCCTAGCCAGTGGTTGTCATGAACGGAGCCAAATCCGTATTTGTAATCCTGCCAGGTCCTATCAAAGTCAACAGTACTGTTGGCTGTAATGTGCTGGATTACTGTCCAGCCACCATCCTGCATGTTACAAAAGACAACAATTGGGTCTTCCTTTGGTTGGATGATGTAAAGACCATCTCTGGAATTTCCTTTGGAGTGCTGAAAAATCTCAAAACAATCCCTTGGATAGTCTGAGTAGGAAAAAAAAGAGTTTTAAAGTAAATTTTAGATATCAAACTCTGTCCTTTACAGTGAGTGAATGATTGCTCTCTGATTGGAAGCTGAGTCTGACTTCATCCCAGCTGGTGGGCACCTACTCAGCTAAAGGGGGAAAATTTCAGGGCAGAACATACAGGAAATATTCAGAAATTCAAAACAGGGTTTGCTACCGTGTCATACAACAGAAATGTGCGTTATGTTGCATTTATGACAGAAATATGGTTGAAAAGCCAAAGGTTGTATACAGACTATTCCTTTTCCTCCTATGTTCTTCCAGCTTGAACAGTCAGCAAGTTTGCAGTTCCCTGTGCAATGTGTTGGACCATTGTGTTTAATTACTAGAGCTAGCCTTAGGCTCAACAAATAAGTCTAATTTCTCTTTAACCCATTTATACTTCAGGCATCTGTAACATCCTTCCATTAAATTCCAGTAAGAATGCGACGTGTTCATTGACAAAAGGGAGGTATTAAAGCCTATTTCTTGCTAATATAAAGCTTATAAGCATCAGGATTTTCTTAGGAACAGTTCTTGTCATTCATAAACTCCAGGCTAAATCTTACCGCTGATTTGCAGGTAGAACTGCAGTGCTGTGCAGTGCTGAACACCAATATCAGGAAAATAGGTGAAAGTGTTTTTCCACTTTATTGCTTATCCACTAGACTCAGAGGGTAATAAAAGTGGCATATAAGGCTTGGGATGACCCTCTCTATTGGGCTGAAATATATGCGCCGTGTTTTTTAAATGTAACTGGCTTATAAGGTAACTTCTTGCTATAGTGTAATATCAAGCAGCTCTGAAACTAAGGCACAATGCTCTGCTTTTTACAATTGACTGTGAGACTTCTAAGAGCTAGACTAAAATTTATTTAAATATATATTTATGTATGCATGAATTCATATATAGATAATTCCTTTTGTAGAGCAGGATGTTATTCAATGTCTGTTCTGTTAGAAACATGTTTATGAATTGAAAACACTCACTTCTCAGTAGAGCTGAAAGGCATGTCATTATCTCATTATACTATGGACTATTTGTAATTTATATTTAATAAAAACTTGACAATTTTAATATCTCTATGAGAAAAATTCCTACAGACCACCTGTAATGTAAAATGACAGTTCTTCAGACCTATGAAATCCTATGTTCTGTCCTGACAGTGACTGATAGGAATTTAGATACCGTATTTGGAACTTAATTTTTTTCTTTTGAGAGACTGAAGTAATTCAGGAAAAGTGCAGCAAGATGTCCTAAATTTTTTTCAAAAAATTGTCAAAGAAATAACTAAGGAGAAATATTTCCAAAGATAAAAATTTGAAATAAAAGCTCAAAAAAATACTCTTCTTTTTGTCTAAATCATTGACCAGAGAGCCCCTGCTGATCCTTTTACTGAACACATTGTTTTTCTTTTGCTGAACAAAAGAACGAAGTGTGAAAAGAGTCAATCTCATTGTATGGACTCATGACCAACAGATCAAAAGTACACTGAAACAACAAAAAAAAAAAGCCCCCAACTTTCTGGAAAGAGGACAGGACCACGAGGGACTATTTTATCTACTACTGGTCCTGTAGGGAATTGTATCATGCAGTCTTCTTCACAGAAATACTTAATTTCTTCTTTTCCAACTGGAAAGCATTGTTGACTTCAATAACGGTCACTACTCTGTTAGAAATACTTATCTGGTTCCGAATCCAATTTTATTAATGTCCACTTTCCATCTTTTTCTTTCTTGTGTCATGTTGTCCTTTATTTAAATAGTGATTCTTTTTCAGTAATAAGCCCTGATGTACCATGAGGACAACTATATTTTTAATCAACCTTTGTTTTGTTAGGGTAAATTCTGTTAGAATAAACAAGTTCTTTTATTATTTAGTGTAAAATAAATCTTCTGTTCCTTAATTGTCTTAGTAGCTTTTCTGCACCTCCTCACTGCAAATTAATCTCCTAGAACGTATTTAAAATTTGCAGACAATATTGCAGATGGCCTTATATAGTGCCACTGATTCTTCCCAAGTTCTATTAGAAACATCTCTGTTGATATATTCTAGGATTGCATTTGTATTGCTTAGTTTCCTTTAATCTAGAGTTTGATCTTTGGATCTTTGTAACTGGTAAGGTTCTCACCTTGCAATAAAACCTAGAATTTTGTACTTTATTTTTCATGCCAGTGGTATTACTCAAGAACATCTGATGTATTTTTTTTCTGTTTAATATTCCTTTTCTTTGTATTGGTATTTCTCTACTTCATGTTATCATTAAATTTTATCAGCACATTCCTACTTTTGCGTCAATATACTTAATAAGAATACTGAAAAGATCACTTACAAGCAAATACTTCCAGTGTCCCCTTAACTTTATGGTTCACTTTTCTACCCAAGTCATTGTCATTTTCTTTTGAATCTCTACTGAAATTTTAATGTAACCCTACCTTCTCTGATTTAATATTGTATGAAGTATTGTATCATAGGCTTTGTACAAGTGCAGGTGGATTAAATCTGTTAAATAGTATTATTCATAGTATCAGTATTGTGTTAAATATAGCCTTTTATATTTGATATTCAGAAGTTTATTAGTACTTCTAAGCCCCTCAGGGTAGATTTACAGAAGTATATAGGGTTTCCAAGATTTTACTTTTAGGCCTTTCATTGCCTAATAGAATCTAAAGCCATGAATAGAATACTTTAAATCGCAATACTATCTGCATGACATTGTTAAATGTCCTGAAAGAGCAGACCTGTATACATGACTTAGTGCTCCAGCTGTTAGAACATTCACCTGGCATACACAGCCTGATTCCAAACCTGATCCCATGATTTTATAGAATGATTATTTAAGTATACAGCGATGTCCAAGCCAGCGATATACGTGACACTTGTATTTGCCCTTCTCTGAATATTATTCATGCAAAACAGAACAACTTCTGTGGACAGATAATGAGAAAAGCATTTAGGCTGGTTATTACAGGATTCACTTACAAAGCGAGTTTTGTAAACCCTCAAGTGCCATCAGTCAGAGGAGGGAAACTAATGGAACCCACTACTCTTTTTGTGTACATTTTACATGGGATCTACTGTGGTGAACGTATTAGAAAACCTGCCAAGCTGGACCTTGCAAGTTAGATAGGCAGAGGAATGCCTCAGCTTTAGATATCAATGAGATTTAGTGCTGAGGTGTCAGGTGTAATCTAGATATGATTGTCCTAAGAATAAGTCTTCAAATGCAACAAAACTTTTTTTTTTTTTTTGGACAAAAAAATATTAACTCTTAATTTCTCTTAAATTAAGTGGCAGCTGAGCAAAGGTTTAAAAGATTTTGGACTTTGGGGCAGGACATGTTCATAATGCAAATTATTTTTGTAGGACAAACTTTCAAATATGTTGGCTGAAAATGTTATAGCAAAGCAATAAAGTAAAAGATGGCACGCATCAAAATCACTCACTCTCTTCCTGAATACCTTTTTCATTGATGTTACCCAGTCTCTCATAGCCTCTTTGGGGGAGCAGGTGGGCATTAGCCAAGACCACTACCTCTTTGGTGCTCACTGACACAGAGCAATGAGAGAGCAAGAGCAGAATAAATCCCGCTGAACTCGTCAACAGCATCTTCCTTCCGAGTCAGCCCTCCTGCAGCAATACGGAGCTGTAACACAGATGGGAAATGAAAATGGAAAGATTCATGACTTTTAGTATGAAAGTCCTAAAGGAGAAAGCTTCAGCGTAGTGAGCCTCTGCCAAATTTGGCTTCTCTCATCTTTCAAGAACATCTCCTTTTCCTGATGCCTCGCACTCTATTCCTGACTGGTCCTTCCTCCGACACGGAGCACTGTGCTGCGACACTGAGAACGTGTCTCACCTCTGTCACCTTGCGCCGTGCAATGAAACATAATGTAATTTTGTGTGTGACAAAAAGCCATAGAAAATTACGTAATTACAAAAGTAAACCCACATATTTATCAGAATTCAATTTTGCTTATTCCCTGAGTCCAGACTGTAGCAAAATAGAGGCACCAATGGTCAAACTGGCAGAAACAGTAACACAAGGCTCTGCTGACTGTCTGTAGCTCAAACAGGACTCAAAAACGGGGCTTTCTGAGTGCTGGGAATACTCCATGCACTGGAGAACTCACTTCAGCACATCTGGACTATGCTTCGTATGAATTTCCATCTCCAGCTTTAAATAATAGGTCATAGGTTTAAATTAGATTTAAAAAAACCCAACAGCTCAATGAACAAAGCAAAAAACTTTTCTCCAACCTCTTCAAAACTCACAAGGGTTCAATATATTGAATCAAAACAGTTTTGAGCCTCATTTTGCCCTCCTTTTGGCATTACATGTGTAGCACCCTCCATCCAACATAGGCAGAAGACTTAGGCTATCACTGGATTAAATCCCGGGGGTCCTCACTTAGGCAAATCCCAGCTTGACTGAAGAGGAATTTCTATATCAATGACAGCTTAGACTGAATCAGGATTACAAATATTTCCCATACTCTCAAAGGACACATTTACTGAGACTCTAGCCAAACTCTTTTTTTTTTTTTTTTTTTTTTTTTTTTCAGAACTGAGCTCCCCACAGTGGCTTTGACAAAGGCAGAAAATAGATCCAGCAAGTAGCTCTTCGGTCAGAGTTTATTTACTGCCAGCGTCAGCACAGAGTCTAGAGAGGCCAGTACTCTTCTCCACGGTGGTTTATGTTGCAATGGAGCCACATTCCTTATAAATCTAATGACTTAGCAGCAGATTCAGCAAATAGTTTTCCAGAGTGAAAAAATATTTTTTACAAAATATTTTTTACAAAAATGTCCAAGATAAATCATTGTAATAAAGTTCAGGTTTGAGAATTGATTTTTATACCTACCATACAGAAAACTAGCAAAACAGAATTTTCCACTCTACCTAAAACTATTCAGTAATAATTCTGATTTATTATTAACATAAAATTTGATATTATATCCAAAGCTGGTCATCTGACAT